GAATAAATCCCACTGAATTCAGTGGGATTTAATACCTGGGAATAAATCTCTCTGAATTCAGTGGAATTTGATTTCTTTACCCAGGAATAAATCTCACTGAATTCAGTGGGATTTAATATCCTTACCTGGGAATAAATCTCACTGAATTCAGTGGGATTTGATTTCTTTACCTGGGAATAAATCTCACTGAATTCAGTGGGATTTAATTCTGTGTTAAAATGTCCCCAAATTGTGCTGTAATTACTATTAAACTCAATGAATCTTACCCCTTCCCTGGTCCTTTAAGGCTGGCGGCTTAAAGAAGCAGAAAGAGGTGTCAAACTTGATTTTTCTCAAGTTATTTCAGCCTGGCTTAACCTCCATAGACAAAAAGTTCCCCATTGATCTCAACAGCGACTTCCCATAAACCGTGCTTGAGTTGCAAAGACTAGGCTGCTAGGCACTCTTAATACTCCAGATTATTCATTTTTTTCCGTTTTCTTCTGATCCATATCCCACCCCATCATCCATCGATCCCTTCTTTGCAATGTGGGCACAATTTTGGGGATTATTTGAAGAGACTTGAAAGAGATTTGAAAAATCCCCAGTAACCCTAGAAAGAAAGCCTTCTTCTCGCCTTCCTTGACCTCGATCCAAGTTTTCTAATCCTTCAGACTTTTGTGGATTCCGGCTGGGAAAGGCTTTTCCACCCCTAAAAATCCAAAATCCGTTGAGAGATTGAGAGAGAGAGAGAGAGAAAAGAAACAGGCAAATTGAAAACACACCAGCAATAATATCTGATTTACCAAGTTTACCAACGCCGTTTAAAATGCTTTATTCTTTTTGTTTTGTTTTGTTTTGGTCTTTTGAAAAATATGTACAGATCTGAAATAGGCTTTTTTTGCAAGTGTTTCCTTTCCTGCACAGAAAAATAACTATTCAGCCCGAAATGTCACATTGGGAAGGGAGAGAAACCTTCCAAAAAAAATTGAAAAATGATAGGGACTCCCCCCCATCTGCCCCCTTTCCTCCCCACAGAGGAGTCCTTTTCCAAGTAAAGTTGTGGGTGTTGTTTTTTGGGGGGCTTCCCCCCCCAAATTCAGGGCCAGAAAGTCAATTTTTACCAAGGGGGGGGGAGGAGGAGGAAGAAATAGCCCTAATTTCTCTGCCAGTTTAGAAAAGTACCCAAACAAATCAACCCAGAGAGGATAAATAATTATTTTTTCAAAAATAGATACTATATATATTTATATTTATATATATTTATACATATACACACATATATATATATATTATATAACAATAATGAATACACATGGTGTATTTCTTAGCAAGGCGAGCAGCTCAGTCCTTTCCTCTGGATCCCTGGATGGTCAGCCAAGATGGAAGCAGCCAAGGGAGTTGTTGTGGTTGTTGCTGTTGTGTGTTGTGTGCCTTCAAGTCATTTCTGACTTATGGCTATTCTGTTCGAAGGTGGTGAACCTATCGGCAAATTTCTCCATTGGGGGTGGGTTGTCATTGCCACCTTCTGAGGCTGAGAGAGTGGGACTTGCCCAAGGTCACCCAGTGGGTTTCCATAGCCGAGTTGGGATTCGAACCCAGATCTCCAGAGCCAAGGATCAGCCAAGGCAATTAATGGGGAGGCCCTCCAGGGGCGAAGTGGTTTGAGTGCTGGACTTCAACTCTAGGAGATCAGGGTTCGAATCCCAGCTGGGTTATCGAAACCCACTAGATGGTCTTGGGCGAATCACACTCTCTCGGCCTCAAAGGCAACCTTTACTCTGAACAAACCTTCCCAAGAAAACCCTGTGACAGGTTCGCCTTAGGGTCGCAATAAGTCGGAAAGGACTTGAAGGCACACAGCAAACAAAACCAAAACCAAACAAACCAAAGGGATTGGAATCCTGGGCTCCAGAGGCAAGGGTCAGCAAAGATGGAGGCAGCCCAGATAAAGGGTGGTGGTGGTAAGGAGGAAGTCCTCCAGGGAGCCAGAGGTGCTGAAGTGGTTTGGGTGTTGGACTAGGACTCTGGAAAGCAGGGTTCAGCTGGGCCTGGAAACGCCCAGGGTGACCTTGAGCAAGTCATACTCTCTCAGCCTCAGGGGAGGCTTGGGCAAGTCATACTCTCTCACCCTCAGGGTCCCACCTCAGTCGTGTAAACCCACTGGGTGACCTTGGGCAAGTCACTCTCTTTCTCTGTCTGTCTGTCTGTCTCTCTCTCTCAATCTCTCTGAGTCTCAGAGGATGGCAATGGGGGAACCACCACCCCACCACCACCCTCTGAACAATTTCCGCTG